ATGAATAGTGACATGGAGTGGGTATGAGAGGTTGCTTGTGTCGTACTTTATGGAAAAGTCAACACTCCACCCATATATCTTACCAACTAGATCATATTCTTAGGAAATGATTTTCCTTAAAATGTGTTTAAAATAAGAATATTTAGGATCTTATATGTCAAAATATAAGTTTGGGTAAAAATTTTGCGTTAAAATCACAAAAAACGGGCTTAAAACGTAAAAGAATGCAAAACCGGGAAAAACAAGCGAAAATCTGAAGTTTGGGCCCGAGGTTGGGTCCCTGGTGCTTAGAACCGAATGTAGGTGGGAACCAAGATGAGGGTTCGGTCACTGGTGAGGAACCAAGAGAGCGGTTTAGGTGGTGTATTGAACCGAGAGGAGGGCTCGGTTCGAGCAGTATCACAGGTGAAGGGAAGGAGCGAAGGCGAGGTTCGGTTACTTAGCAGGTTTGGTTTCGGTTCATGCTTTTTTGGTCCACGCGAGCAGGTGAGATTTGGTTCTGACAAGCTTAGTTCTGTGGTCTCACTTCTTAGGGTTTCGGTTCCTAGGGATTTCGGTTACTAGTGTAGTCTCGGTTCTAAAGGTGGTTTGGTCCAAGAGGCTTCTCGAGGTTCGCTTCGTAGGGTTTCGCTTATAAGAGGTTCGGCTCTAAGAAGGTTCGGTTCTTTAAGGTTGTTTTACCAATAAACTTCTCTTTTTGTGCGGTTTTTGACTAAACTAAGGGTCGAGATGCCCCGAAGTCAATATAAAAAGTTGAGGGAGGTTATGAGAGAGATTTAGGAGAAGGAGAGGTTGACAAAGAGAGATAGAGAGAGCATTCGTTTGTGACCTTTTTGACTGTTTAGCTTCGCATCGCACGGTTTGTACACCCTGTTAAGCCTCGTTAGGGTTGTTATTCGCCCCCGAGGGGTATGGAATAACGTTTTATCGAATAGTTTCATCACTTATCCTGATTAGGGTTTACAATTTCTTAACGAGTGAACTTTCCAAAAGATGACTTCTTATTAAAATACTGAGTTGTATGATAGTAACATAGTGTAAACCTTAATATACAAGGGTTAGATGAGTTGACCGGTTTGACATGTTCATTTTATTTGACTTTGACTTAATCGGAAATTGACGGTTGTCACATCATTCCCCCGTTAGAAGGAATTCCGTCCAGAAATTAGCGTTTTGCTTGGGACTTCAAGAATTTGGGAAGAGATGTGTATACTTTTGTTTCATTTGATCCTCGCATTTCCAAGTGAATGTAGGTCCTCGTTTCCCGTTCCAACGGGCCTTCACGACAGGAATACAACTTTGATTTCGTTCTTTTTCTTTTTCGATCCATGATTCGTATCTGTTTTTCCACAAAGTGGAGACTCTCATCGATTTCAATCTCATCAAGAGTCTTGTCGAATAGGCATTGATTTAGTTTGACACGTGGAAGGTAGGATGTATATTTTGGGTTCTTGCGGTAATCGAAGCTTGTATGATACTGGGCCCATCCTTTCGAGGGTCCCGAATGATCCGATATACCTTGGATTAATTTTTCTACGAATACTGAAACGTATCAAGCCTTTCTATGGTGAGACATTTAAAAGTACTCGGTCTCTGGCCTGGGATTTCAAACGCTTTTGTTGGTTTTCCGTTTAATGCTTTTGTATGTCTTTGAAAGCCCTTAGTTGCCCTCGGATGTGGTCAATGCACTCCGTAGTTGCTCTTATGATTTTCGGACCAGTGGGGGTGCTGTTAGGGACTTGTCCCTTAACTAACTGCATGACACCCACTTCAGCTTAGTACAAAGGGGATCTATACTTGCGGCTGTTAGGAGCTTCGAATGGAACTTCATTGGTGTTAGGGTGACAGTTTTCATTTTACGAAAATTCAATGAACGGTAAGAGGGTATCCCCCTGTTTTACTGTAGTCAATCATCCTAGCTATTAGCATGTCTTCCCATGTTTGAACAGTTTCCTTTGCTCTGCCTGTCGTCTTGCCGGTGGTAGGTCGTTCTCAAGACGAGTTTAGTCTCTGTAAGGGTTGCCAGAGTTGGGAAGTGAATCCACTATCTCTGTCAAAGATAATTGGTATTGATACACTATGCAGTCGTGTAATCTCTTTGATGTACATTCTAGTCAGTTCCTCCATCTTGTCGGTTTCTTTGATTAGTAGGAAATGCTTGAATTTGGCCATCCTATCCGCAATTACCTATATGGTATACAGACCACCCTTTGGCTTGGGTAACTTGGTGGTGCAGTTCATGGTTATCCTCTTCCACCTCCTTTCGATTATCATTGATCGTTGTAGGAGACTCGAGGGCTTCTGTTGTTCCGCATTGACCTTGGCGCAAGTCCGATACTTGCCCACATGTGTAGTGACGTCAATTTTCCTATTCGACCACCGACGTTACTTTTTTGGGTCCAGATACCTCTTTTCGGCATCTGGATGTGTGGAGTGGTGAGTTTTCATATGCTTCATTCATGACGGCATTTCTGATTCCATCAAATTCGGTGCCCCGATCCGGTCCACAGGATAACATGTCCTGCCACGCTTCCCTTCTAGGTTCTTGTGATCGGTGAAGATTGTAAATTTCGTGTCGTAGAGATAGTGCCTATAGATCTCTAGGGAGAATACTACCGTTCCTAGTTCGAGGTCATGTGTGACGTAGCCGATCCCGTTCATCTTTAGCTGACTTAATTCATAAGTAATAACTTCTTCTATGATTGTTGCATTGGGCATGCTGTAATGCTTCTCGTTTGATTAGATCGGTAGGGAGCGTATGGGTTTAATTTACGTGACTAGGCTTATTCGGGTGGTAGAACATTTACTCGCACTCTTGGGTAGCCTTGTCCCGATGTTCCTGGTAGGACTCGTACCTGGTCCATCTATCATTAACTCGCCCATATAGGTCTTATGTAATTAGTGTTGGTAAGATAGTCGGATGGGTGACTCTTACCCAAGTCCACAACCAGACAAGGAACAAGAAATAGGGCGGAAGCACACATCCAATGTCGGTAGAATTTTAATTATACACTAGACTTCGTACATACTCATGGTAGTGATAGGTTAACCGCATTCACCCCACATTTTCAGTCTTGATCTTGATCTGCTATACGAGTGACATTCTCGAAGGGTTTACAAGGAATACTTTGATAAGGTTACAAAAGGTATAACACACCTCCAGAGAGTGCTTTGGGGTTTCACAATGAAGTACAACCAAAGAGTCGAAGTCAGATTTAGGGTCGTGAGAGACGAGGGTTTCTATATTCGGCTGGTTGGGTGGAGGGTCTTCTCATAACATAGGCAATAGATATGGTGATGATCCAAACCAATCCATATCGAATGACGACACCGGATTTTCTCAATGACACATGTGTTAAGTCGTATTTGTAATAGGTATTGTTTAGAGTGATAGTGCATCCTATGTTTCTTTTTTTAGTGTTATCCGTTTTGATTGATGTTACTGTTTCTACAAATGATATATACCACAGTAGCTAGTGCTAGTAGTAAGTGTGTTCTGATAGCTAGTAATGATATTTTATAATTTGATCCCCGGCCGATCATTCCATGATCGATCGGTATATGCAAGTCGTACATCTTTTGATACTGATGAAATCGACGGGTGAATGGCTCTATCCTAATACCACCACTAGACATCGAATACGAGTTAGGACGGGATTATTCTCTTTAATTTTGTAGTATTTTTACTATAATTAATCTCGATGTATACATCAATTCAACACAACTACATGGTAATGATCCTAAGGTCACATATGAGTGTCTCTGATTTGATTTGATTTAACGAGAGGGTATTTTAACTACTTTTTAAAAGACAATAATTTTTAGTGAGCACACCGAATTCGTTACAAGCATATGGGACTTACACGTTTTCGTTCTGGGAAACATTACAAAAGTCCTAATGAGATTCCTTATTGCCCTTACTGGTTTGGTTGTCACATTCCTCCTGCTCCCCCCGTCATTCCTCTTAGTTGGACAGTCTCTCTTGCAGTGTCCCATTTCACTGCATAGGTGGCACACTGGACTTACATTGGTATTGGTGGTTGAAGTGATGTGCTGAGTCGGGGTCCTACAGGAGCGAATGACATGTCATTTCCTGTTCCAGTTGATACAGTGTGGAATCCGGTAAGCTCCTGTGTGATGGTAGTTACACTTTATACACTTTGGAAGTTTTCACATATACTGTCTGACTGGTGCTTGAGTGACCGTCGTTGTGGCTGAGGTTGAGGCATGTGTTGTGACTGCAGTTGTAATTATAGGGGCAACCACGAATTCTTGCCTTTTAGCGTGCTTCTGAGATGAGTTGCACTTCTTTCTGTTCCAAAACTTTTGTTTCTTACTCTTAGGTTTGTGGTTCGAGGTATTTTCGTCGACAGGCGCCTGCTGGTGTTCGTGATTGTTATTTCGGCTAGTGTTTCTGGCACCGTCTCTGCCCCCGTTGGTGTGGTTAGCATTGAGCAGCGCCATGACGGCTGCCATGACTGCCATGACTGCAGCTTGAAAAGTAGTTGAGTCTATCTGTAGGGTTGGTGCCTTGATAGTTGGTTGGTTACCTCTTGGTGAAGACATAATTCTGTTTCATGATGAAAAACGACTTCGTGAGTTGGGATGATTACCTCAAGTGCTTTCTTACAATATATATTCACCTATATAAATTTCGCACATTGTTGTACTATTCTTAGTGTTTCTGCTAAATACTCATGAGATGGAGTTACGGAAATGGGTAGAAGTAGGTTTTGTACCATTGTTAAATTTACCCATCCTATTTACTATCTTTGCCAAACACTCTTAGCTAAGGAGTTATGATGGGATCTGATGCATTAGAACTGTGTAGAATTAAAGAATCGACTATGAAATCAATCAAAGTTTTAAATGATCAAAACAACTATTAACAAGATAAGAACACCGATGTAAATATAATTTCTGATTCAGCTCTATTATGCTTCTCAAGTTTTACAGACTACAAGTGAATATTCTGTAAAAGACTCTATTATGCTTCTCTATTATGCTTGTTTCTTTGTTGGAGCCATTAGTGCTATAATTTCAATTCCTTTTGCTGTTGCCAACTCTACATCACTCTGATCAAGACACTCAAAAGAATTTTCTATAAAGATCTTGATGTGTTGAGAACCATGCTTGAATACATCTGGTTCGGTATCTTGAAGAAAGGAAAACGACTTGTCCTTTAGCAATAATGCAACTTCTATAAGATTATACAAGTTCATCAACAGAAAGTCAACTATAGTGAAGTCACAAGTTTTTCCACTTGATCTGATCACTGAGTATTTGATATTTTGGATGACATTTTCGAAAATCACATCTCTTTTTATACTGTTTACTTTCTTTATTTTCTCCAGTGACCAGACTTCTTCAGGAGCTTTACCCAATACTGCATGAAAACGAATTTTCATCTTCTTCCCTTCATCTACATCCTTGCACTTGACTTCAGATCGAAACTGATTCATTGGAAAATCCAGCTGATTTAAATCAGATTTTGTAACCACATAACTTTTCTTCGGAATCTTTTCAAAAGAGTACATGTGATCAAACATAACTCTGGCCTCAGTTGCTTCATAGTTGTATTGCTTCGAAAGATCTCCTTTATCTAAATTGGAAGGATCTTGATCACGAAGAGTCATAATACTTTGTAAATGTATCATTTTTTCTACCTCTGCTTTCTTTTCTTCGTTTGTTTTCTCAATTAAAATTCCTTCCCCTCTATCTTTCGAAGCTGTCTCAGTCACCACAGTCTTCATCTTTGAAGCACTCCCACCTGCCTCCCCAATTACAACTCCCTTTAGTATTGGCTTGGTTAATGGAACAGTTGTGACCACAGTAGAAGAAACTGGACCAGCTGAAACAACAATTGGTATTGCAGCAGAAATTTTCTTTCCCTCCACCTTCGAATGTTCCCCAGCCTTCGTAAAATCAAGTTTCGTTTCTCCCCCTTGCACCCCTGTGATAGCAGGTGGGGAATTTGACACAGATGGAAGAAGGTTGGATATGCGAGTAAGAGGGGACAATTGTTTTTGTAAATTTGCTTCAAACAGCAAAAATTTATGTGACAAGAATTTAGAAGTAATTAATGAAGAAGGAACCGGCTTGATAGATAATTCCTTCAATTCCTTTAATAACCCAAGCAAGTCACCAAAATGTTTATCTTCTTTTTCAGAAAGAAGAGTAAATTGAGGACTCATACTTTCGAAGAGTTTGACAAATCTGGTAACCGCATCACAGAAGCATAATCTTGTTGGATAATTGTCAATCTTTTGACAGATAATTCCTTCAATTCCTTTAATTGTCAATCTTTTGATTCACATAAGCATAATCTTGTTGGACAACTTGAACTTCCTTCTACATATCTTCACGAAGTTCGTGTATTTGTAAATTTACATCTTCTCGAACTTTCTTTACTTCTTGAACAAACAGCACATGTCTTTCCTTGGTTATGAGTTTCAAGTATTTCACTTCATGCAAGAAATCCTGATGCTGAGAAGTCGTACAAAGATCATTTAATTGATCAATAGAATCAACTTTCTCCAAAAGTCGTCCTTCAGCATCCCTTATCATGCCTGAAACTTTGTTTATGACCTTGGATTCGAAGACCTTCAGCAAAGAATCAACCTCTAAACTTCAGACGGAAGACCCCCCCCCCCTAATATCAGCTTAAGATTGAAGAATAGAATTCAACTTTGAATTTAAAATTTTAAATTGCTTCATGGTCATTAACATGTGAACAGGAAAATCTTCTTCTTATGCATCAAACTTCAAATCTTCAAAGGTTCCTCCAAAAACTTCAGTATAAGTTTCAGTCTCCAATTGCATGGTATCATCATTAGTTGAATTTGGTTTTGGTGGATCAGTAGATTTAGATGAAAAAATTTAAGTGAAAGGGGTATTGATAACATGTTGGAAAGTGGGTGAATCAGTGGTAGATGCTATTGGAACAATGGGAGTAATCTGTGGAGATAAAGAAATACCTTGATCTGCAGTCTTCGAATTATTCTCACCCATAATTACATTTGTACCTATATCATATATTTTTACAGTGATGTCTGAAGTTCGAGCCTACATAGAAACTGTGTTGGCAAACGAAACTTTGGGTGGTTGAGTCACTGAAGTACCAACGGTAGAGGAATCAAGAATTAGAGTTGCTTCAGGAGTTTCAGGAATAACTTCTGTGTCATCAGCGGTTGAATCAGAAGAAATGATCAATTTTCTCTTCTTCTTCTGAGAAATATGTTTGGCCATGTCAGCAACCATTCTCTTCTTTGTTGAAGGAGACACAGGAGCAGGAACTTCTGTAAAAATTATTCCTTGGTGAGAAACTTGTGGTTTAAGAACCATCTTTGTACCCAACGATCTTCTCTTTGTCTTTGATTTCATCTTAATATGCTTAAATACACCAGTCTTCGAAGGAATTATTTTGTTTTCAATGACCTGAGTATCAGAAACAACAAGCTTTGGCTGATCGAGTTCAGGTTCAATCATAGGAACCAACTTTGTTTTCTTTGAAGACTTGGATTTGGTATCCGAAGACCCAACAACAGGTTTCTTTTTCTTCTTGGATTTCTTCTCACATGGCTGTTGTTGAAGGATCCCGGTTTCCACAGAAGTATCAATAGTTGCAAAGTAAGAAACCAAGACAGAATTTGAAGGATCAATTCTCTTAAGCATCGCATCAGGAATACGAGCTGCAAACGGAAACTCATCCAGATCATCCGTTGCATCCTTTGGACAATGGTATGTATGAAATACATCTTTTTCCTCATCAGCTGGTGCCAAGACCCCTTCTTTTTCATAAAAATATTGTAAGATCCGGCTCCAATATATAGCACATGAAATGCCCTGAACAACATTTGTATCTCGATACTCTTTTGAAATTCCTTCCATAATTGAGTTGAATAGTCCACTTGAAGATCATAATATAGCCCTACTACCATGGCATATACCTCCATTCTTCCATATCAAGACCTACCGTTCTGCCAGTTAAGCAACGAAGAAAAATGCCAAACAAAAAATTTCACACACAAGGAAGTCCTGATTTCTTGAAATCACTGATTTTGGTTAACTTTGGTTGATGTCCCATTTCATTTAACATGTGGACTATTTGTGGAAATGTTAATGACACATATGGTGAAGAGTTTGGGATAGCAAAAATTTTGCAAAAAAGCTTTTGAGTCAACCTAACCTTTTTGTCGTTGATTAGGTTAAATGTAACTGCATCCAATGCCTTTGAATATGTAGCAGTTGATCCGGCTTGGGATAACCAGGAAATAGGAACATCAAAAGAGTTAGACATTGCAGTTGACAGGATAGAGTGTTGCAGAGCAACGATCAGCATCTTAAGTGCTTTTGGATACAACGACACATTAGACTCCACCTGATAGTTTGTTCCTTGGATTTTTACGATTGCTACTGAAGTAACATCATCCGTGGTGTGTGAAGGTTCAGCCACAACATTCTCCACATTCGCCATTTTTAGGGTTTTGAACAAGATGAAGAATAGAGAAATCTTGAGTTGCAAAGACTATTTGTGATAATGTAAGCATAAACGGATGAATACCCCTTGAATCCCCTTTTATATGTAACTCTTCAATTTGAAATCAAAGCGGGATAAGAATTTAATGTTTGCTGATGTGTCACCGAGAAAAGCACATCATGACGATGATAAAGTAACCATGCGTCAAAAAGTAACTATCACATCGCCTTGAAAACCGGAGGTAATATAAAATGTCTCATCAAACAGCCTGTTTTTATTGAGCCAATGGAATTGTAATCGTCAGAACCCTTCGGATGGAGGTTAGGCTCTTTTACTTTTGGGTTTTAAAGTAAAGTTATTTGCCATAGATTCAAAATCATCATGCTGAGTTGGTATTACTCAGAACCTCAAGGATTTCGTGTGTGCATTGTGTCAAAGAATTAAGATCAGAAGAAAATTTTTTTTTTTTTGGATATTTGTGATGTTAATATCTTTTTGACACGAAGGCAGTTAAACCCCATGAAAAGGTTGCTACGTTAATTATCAAGAGATATAATCAACAGCTTGTGTATGTTCCTATGAAATACAATCGGAAAGTTTTAGATAAGTTTCAAAGGGAATATTTTGTAAGGTTACATGGGTGGCTAAAAACAATTTTGTTACATATCAGCCTTAACATAAGGTGAGTAATTGTAATAGAAATTACTTTTGTGACCAGTGTAGTCAGTGACAAGTTTTTTATTGAAAAATATTGAAAGTAACTTTGGAATTCGAAGTTAACTCACTTAGAAATCATATTCATGAAAAAAAAATTATGCTGGGTCTTGTTGGGTAACAAATTTCATGGGTTACGAAAATTTGATCAAGATCACTCATACTAAATGAATATTATTTGGAGTTCTGAAGACTGGTACTGAAACAAAAGTTTCGTTAAAGCTGGAACATAGCTCCCCATCAATTCCTTAACTTGTAAAGAATGTTGGGTTTCACTATCATCATCGTCTCATGACGATTCATAATTAACACAGATTTGTGATATACCTAGATTCTGATTGGTTTTGATCAGAACCTCGTGGATATATGTCTTCGTGTGTGCAAGTGTAAGAATTTTAAGATGAAAAAGATTGGTTCCTTAGAAAGAATGTACCTCTGTTATACTGGACCAAACAGAAAACTCTTAACTCATGTGAGAAGAGTAAGATAGCTCATTAAACTAATGTGAATGTAAGCCTTATTGGGAAGAAATCTTCGTACGAATAATTTCATTAAGGCTTTCGAACATTGAGTCAATTCGAGGCTTTAGACAACAAGCTGCAGCATGCTTCTACGAACATCTTAACTAGTTTTCAAAATTTGAAATTCACAAAGTAGAGATTTATACCTGACCCTAGAATCAACGAACATTTTCCTGTTCATCTCTTCAAGAATATCTTATCAACTGATGACGTGTCTGTGAACTGTCAATCTTCTTTTTCGCATGAAATAGAATTACCATCAACCATTCCAAGTCCTTCTAAAATTCTTACAAATGATTTTTCATCCAATGCTTTTGTGAAAATATCAGACAATTGATCAGTAGTTTTCACAAAATGAACTTCAATATTCCCATCTTCTAGATGATCTTTTATGAAGTGATAACGAAGAGCAATGTGTTTGGTCTTCGAATGCTGCACAACATTAAGACAAATTCTTATTTCACTTTGTGAATCACAATATAAAGGAATCTTTTTCATATTAATTGCATGATCACATAATTGACTTTGAATCCATATTACCTGTGATGTGCAAGCAGCAGCAGCAACATATTCAGCTTCGGCTGTTAAGATAGAAACACATGTTTGGTTTTTCGATTGCCAACTTACCAATTTACCATCAAGTAATTTACATCCACTACTTGTACTTTTCCTATCCAGATTACATCCTCCAAAATCAACATCCGAATATGCTTGTATGAAAAACACAGTATTCGAAGGATACCACAATACATGAGAAGATGTTCCTTTGAGATAACGAAAGATATTCTTTACAGCAGTTAGATGTGGTTCTCGAGGATTTGATTGATACCTGGCGCCATTACAAACACAAAACATGATATCAGGTCTACTTGTAGTCAAATAGAGTAAAGATCCAATCATGCTTCTATATAGAGTAATATCAACAGAAGGTTTATCTAATGAAGGAGTGAGTTTAATGCCAGTTGCCAATGGAATGCATAATTTCGTGCTATTCACCAATCCAAATTTTTCGAGTAGATTCTTCGTGTATTTTTCTTGATTTATAAAAATGCCTTCTCTGTTTTGATGAATGTTTAAACCAAGAAAATTGTTAATTTTTCATATCATGCTCATTTCGAACTTACTTTTCATCAGATCTTCGAATTCTTTAGACAAAGCATGGTCAGTTGAGCCTAAAATAATATCGTCAACATAAATTTGAACAAGCATTAGATGATTCCCAACTTTCTTACAAAATAATGTGGGGTCAACTGATCCTTGTTTAAATTTAGAATGCTTCAAAAATGAAGTAAGAGTTGCATACCAGGGCCGTGTTGCTTGGTTCAAACCATAAACTGTCTTATATAAAATATAAACATAATCTTGATGTTCTTCGTTTATAAAACCTGGAGGTTGTTCCACATACACTGTTTCTTCGAGTTCTTCATTAAAAAATGCAAACTTCACATCCATTTGATATACATCAACATCTTTGTGAGCTGCATAAGCTAAAAATATACGAACTGCCTCAAGGCTTGCAATAGGGGGAAAAGTTTCTTCGTAATCAATTCCTTCTTGTTTTGAATAACCCTTTACAACAAGTCTAGCTTTGTTTCGAATGATATTTCCATCTTTGTCGGTTTTATTTTTGAAAATCCATTTTAATCCGACAATCGAAACATCTTCAGGTTTAGGAATTAATCGCCAAACCTTATTTCCTTCAAATTCAGATAATTCAGATTGCATTGCCACATCCCAATCTAAGTGTCCCATTGCAATCTTAACTAATTTTGGTTCAATTTTAGAGGTAAAAACGTTGAACATACAAAATTCTTGATAAGCATTTAATACCTCATTCTTCGCACGAATTTGAGCTCTTGGTAAAACTTCTTCTTTTGGATTACCAATTATGTGTTCCTTTGGATGATGTTTTGTCCATTTGTCCCTTGGTGGATAAGCTGGATCGAAGTCCAAGGGTGCATCTTCGTATATTTCATCGTTTTCAGATCCTGCAATCAAAAAAACATCATTAATATCATGAAAATCTTCATTATTTTGATTTAACCCCCCTTCAATATGATCATTTATTTGCTCCCCCTCAACATCATTACATGTTCTTTCATTCTCCCCCTCGAAAGAATGCTCCCCCTCAAGTAGAGTGTTCGAATCCATGTGCTGCCCTCCACTGGATCATCATGTATGCTTTCGCCCATTGCTTGAGAAGATGATATTGATTCAGCAACTAATTTTGAAATTTCATTGACCTGATTTTCAGGAGCATTACACTCAACATTCTCAACATTATCTGAAATTCCAAAAATTAGATCATAATCAATATCCATTGATTGTTTATTATCGGATTCATTTTGATTTTCTTGCATTATTGAATGATTTTCAAACTTCTTATCATATTTCTTGATACAATAATCATCAAAAGTAACATTAAATGATTCTTCAACATTTTGAGTTCGTTTATTTAGTACACGATAGGCAACTGAATTATGCGAATATCCAGGGAAAATCCCTTCATCAGCTTTAGCTTGAAATTTCGAAAGATTATCCTTTAGATTCATAATAAAGCACCTACATCCGAAAACATGAAAAAAATTCACATTAGGTTTTCTGTTCTTGATGATTTCATAAGGAGTAATATTAAAACGTCAATGGATAAAAGATCTATTCTGAGTGAAACAAGCAGTTAAAATTGCTTCGGCCCACAGATATTGTGGAAGATTCTCATAAGCCAGCATTGTTCGTGCAGCTTCGCATAAAGATATATTTCTTCGTTCAACTACACCATATTGTTGTGCTGTATATGGAGATGAGAAATTATGCGAAATGCCTTTATCCACCAAAACTGAATCAAGAACATTGTTTTTAAATTCAGTTCCATGATCACTCTTTATCCTTCGAACCATCGTTTTCAGAGTTGTTTCCATTTGTTTGATGAAGTCAATCATGATTTGGGCAACTTCAGATTT